GAGAACCTGTAATAGAAGCTGAAGGGAAAAGATTTTCTGGTCCTTCTGTTCTGCAAGGAGATTGAAAATGCGTCTCTCTCTGAGCTTATGAAGCAGCATAACTCCAAAAATGGCAGCACCAAATGCCAGCAACAGCATCAACATATATGACCGAGTTTTGCTGTTATAGCCACTATGTCCCTTCATCACTCCCCCCATCTCTCTCTCTCTCTCTCTCAGATACACACACAAACGCACAGTATTTATGAAGCTTGTTCCACAGATTTCACGTTGCTTGTCATCTCAAACAGGCCTTCTACCTGTATCTCTCTCCCGGCGCATAAATGCGTGTAAAAGATTAAAGACGGTGGGTTGCGGAGTTAACAAGGATGAAAAATTGCATGGGAACTGTGAACGGCGTTGAATCTGGTGACTTTCACATTTATATACAATTTTTAATGCATGCTACTGGATCAAAGTACTATTACTAGTTTATCAAAAAAAATAGGAACTTTCAGCACTGTTGAACATACAATAAAAATATTTTATAATTTAAAGAATTAATTTTAAGATTAATGGTGGACTTAACAATAGTTCATGTATCAATTAGTTGAAAAGTGATCATCGTAAATTCAAATTCGATAGTTTATATAAGACAAACAAATAAATTTAGTAATAGAGAGAACTACCTTTAGCCAGAATTTATAGTAAATTTTATTTATCTTTTGTTGCTTTTAGATGTAAGGCTTACTTCCTAACCCTATCGAGAGTAATGACTAGTGTTATAAGTCGTTGGACATTTGAAAGAATGCCGTAAGTAAGCCAATTTTGGGGAATGAAGGCAGTTCTATGAGTACCAGATACGTAGCTTATCAAATCAGTTGCCATACGAATGGAAATGCAAGCAACGAAAGACAAGATAAGATCGAGTCTAAGACATCAACCTTGTACTCAAATATTCTTGTACTAATCCGTAATCACTACGGTAAAGGCAATGAACCTTGGTTTGGGGAAGTAAATTTGGCCTATGGCAAAATTTTCCCCACGAAATATGTCACACATTTCGGGGTAGCTTCTAACTTTTTTGAAGGCTTAAGCAAAAATTCTGACATTTCTCATCAATCGGCCATGTGAATGCTGGACGATGAAGTAGAGTTAAAAAAGGGCTGGACCGAAGTCTGCTAATGTTCCAAGTTCTTTACCATCGGTAGAATGGAGTTCTCTATTTTCATTTCTAGGCTTTTTCTCTTCATTGGTCGTCTCAATTTTATTTTCACCCTTCCTTTTCTCCCCCATTTGTAAACTATTTTCTTCATTTTGATTGTTAGAGGCATATTTTGGGTCAGTTCTCTTGCCAACATCAATTTTTCCATATCCAAAACCGCTCTCTTGAGAACCTTCTATCGTTTCAGATTCATCTTCTTCAGTCCTTTCCCTTGTGACGTCCACAAACATCCCATTTTCCATTCTTTTCTCGTCTTGATCTCTATGATTCGAGGCATCATATGTTGAATTTTGTCTTTCTTCATGGTTGCTAGATCCATGCATTTTTCCATTATCATCTTGAATATCATTGACCTTCACTTCACCACTTGTTGACATATTTGTTCCAGCTGTTAAATTTACCGAAGAATTTGATGGATCATTGCTGCTAACTGACCATACCTTGACAGGGGACTCGAGATGGCGCTTCAAATCCTCAATTTCAGCTTCTTTTTGTCGTAAGATTTCAGACAGAGCTATAGCTTGAGGATTTTGATGACTACCTTTACCATATTTCTCTTTGAATATCTTAGCCTCATTCTGCATCTCCTGAATGGCCAATTCAAGAGTTTTTTGTTCATCTTTAAGTGAAGAAATTGTGGATTGCATCTCTGAAAGCCTGCCATTAAGTTTTGTCTTCTGTGTTCGAAGGTTGTAAATTTTCGCTTTCATCTCTTCCATTTTCGTTTTTGCACCTTGTGCTTGTTCTTTTTCCTTCTGTTATGTTATCCACCATAGTTAATCATATCGAGTCAATTAGTTTATCAGACAAGCATCCTAGAATGAAGAAAACATTAACAATCCTATATTCCTATTTTTCAAAAAGTAACATTACTGCATAAACAAAATTTTACAACTTCTGGCAATATTTCTAAGCACTATATATATACACATACATCATACAT